CAAATTGTGCATTAGGATTCTGATTGTCCTTAATGATATTTTTCGCCACCCATAGGGTTGTAGGGTTTACTCCTGAAATTAGTGAAATATTTAAAGTCTTTAATGTGTGGCTTCAACGATACTAGTATTTTGTCTGTTTCCTTCTATTGCGTTATCCTAAACCCAGTCTAGATTTTACTAACCTATGTTGGACATCGTATTGGCATGTCTTTATACGTAGCATTTTTATCAATCTTTTAGTTCCTCCGTGATACTAAACTTCCCGTTGAGACACTTCGAATCATTTGGGATCTCTCCGACCTCGATCGAGACGGCTACTTGGACCGCTTTGAGTTCATTCTGGTATTGTAACATCCTGTCTTGCTCTTTCTCTCTGTGTAAATAAGGCAATTTTTTTCTTTTAGACGATGCATCTCGTTTGTCTCTGTCTGGAGGGTCGTTCCCTGCCCCAAACCCTTCCTATAAGTCTCATTCCACCTAATAAGCGTGGAGGAGTGTCGGAACCCCTTGCCCTAATGCCGCCTCCCTCTCTCCCTCTTTCCACCTCATCTGGTCTCTCTGATTTCAGCGTTACTTCACCAACAACTCCGTCTGTGTTGGTCAGTTGCGTTTTTCTATTTCTCACTTTTTGTCACTGGTCCTTGGCCACGCTGCATATATCTTGCATTTTGTGAATCTTCTGGTTTTCAAACGTGATCATTTGTTGCAACTTCTTTATTTTGTCTTCACTCTTTTAAGATATTTCACTACTTGTAAAAATAATTTGTAGTTTACGATTTCTAGGGACGCCATCTTGGAATCCTAACTTAGTGATCTTAGTGATCTTATTTCTTTTCACACTTTAAACCTGTGGTCATGAGTTGCAACCTCACCTTTTAGCTCTTGAACGGTTATAACCCACTGAATAAGCATTTTTCATCGTATTTTCCTTTGTTTCTTTGTTCAACATGACGTACTTGCCAACATAGCAGTTCGGTTAATTGTCCTTTATTTTTACAATAGTGTCAGTAGTCTTTTCCCTTAATCATCCTCATTGTGCTTATAATCGCCATTTACGAAAGACGCAGGTTAAGCTGATTCCTTGAACGTTGTTTGCAAATTTTAGTTTCCTCGTGCAACTGGCGTATTCTGTTTACTAATTGCTTTTTATCGTTTCCCTGCTCTTCTGTTAACGTTCAAAACTGTTGTATTGAAGTACATTCCGCTTCACCGATGTTTTTACTGGCTTTCATAGCTCATTCATTCT